GCACTATCGCAGAATTGTTGGTTAACTTATTAACCCTCGGCGTGCATGCGCAGTGAGGGTTACTGTAGTTGGTCTGTGTGTGTGTGTGTGTGTCCGCGACTATTCTCGCACTACAGGCTACGAGGCGGCCAAAGAGCGATACCAAACGCTTCAGTGCTACGCGAGCCTGAAAACTAAAATGGCGATTTTCCTGAAACGACTGTGTTCGAGAGCGACAAACTGGCACGGTCGCGGACCGAGTTCCGTGGCCAAACCCATCATGCGGTGCGCAAGCGATCAACGCGGTATATTTATGCTGGCTCCACCTCTACCTGATCCGCTTGCTCTGTGTACCTTGGAGGCACAAGAAGCCACAGCGAAGGGGGTGTATCGACTCCCGCATGCTATCTACTACCGTAGCTAGCCCGTGTCAGATTATCCGCGAACTAGTAGCGGGAGACCGCGGGTAAACGCCAATAGCCCAGCCCATCCATTAGCGATACCGCTCATGCGCAGTTCGCCGAGGGTTTGCACTTCTGTGCTTTTCATTATACCTGCTTCGGCATTCAGCACAGATGTCACAGAGACTGCAAGTGCATTAGCAAGTTCAGTAGGAGAGCCAGTTGTTCCGGTCAATACCACACACACGGAGCCGGCTGCTCCACTTTCAGTGATACCCACAGAAGCTGCAGCCACCTCTACCTCCCCAGCTGAAATAAAGATTTATGTAAGGTACCGAACATCTCAACAAAAAAAGTAAGTGCGTACTGATTATTATAGGTACATATAAACGTGTGGCATTTATCACACATACGGATCTATGATTCCTGTTGTACGCACCTTCGTTATCAGTGATTGTAATGGTGGTAGTGTCTGATGCTCCAACAGAAACTACGACAGTTTGGTCCGTCCCACTGATTCTAGCCCCAAACGCTTCATCTCCCTCCAATAAGGTATCTTCCGTTCCGCTCACTGCCACACAATGAGAGCCATCAGTCGGAAGCGTTGTTCCGGCAGCAATGGTGACAGACGAACCAAGAGAAAAGTCACCAGCTCCTGCGTGCACACAATTCCAGGTTTAATATACACGCAACACATAGGCGATAAACACGCATAAAAAAGGAAACATTTGGCTACATAATAACACACAAATGATTAGTTGTATGTACCCATGTACGGTATGTCAAGTTGGAAAAAACAATGCAGAATTGACCGTTAACTTATGATTGTGAGCCTACCTGCTTCGGCATTTAGCACAGATGTCACAGAGACTGCAAGTGCATTAACAAGTTCAGTAGGAGAGCCAGTTGTTCCCGTCAATACCACACACACTGGAGCCGGCTGCTCCACCTTCAGTGACACCCACAGAAGCTGCAGCCACCTCAACCTCCCCAGCTGAAAGAAAGATTTATGCACGATACAAAAATCAAAAATGGAAAAAGGTGGACACGTACTTATTGTTTTAAGTACATATCATACATGTGGCGCTTATCAAACATACGGAAATACAATTCCTGTCGTACGCACCATCGTTATCAGTGATTGTAACGGTGGCAGTGTCTGATGCTCCAACAGAAACGACGGAATTTTGGTCTGTCCCAGTGATTCTAGCACCAAATGCTTCATCTCCCTCCAAGAAGGTATCTTCCGTTCCGCTCACTGCCACACAATGAGAGCCATCAGTCGGAAGCGTTGTTCCGGCAGGAATGGTGACAGACGAACCCAGAGAAAAGTCACCAGCTCCTGCGTGCACACAATTCCAGGTTTAATATACACGTAACACATATGCATATACATATGATGAGAAACACGCATAAAAAAGGTAAGATTTGGCTACAAAATAACACACGAATGGTTAGTTGTATGTACCCAAGTACGGTATGTCAAGTTGGAAAAAACAATGCAGAATTGACTGTTAACTTATGATTGTGAGCCTACCTGCTTCGGCATTCAGCACAGATGTCACAGAGACTGCAAGTGCATTAGCAAGTTCAGTAGGAGAGCCAGTTGTTCCCGTCAATACCACACACACTGAGCCGGCTGCTCCACCTTCAGTGATACCAACAGAAGCTGCAGCCACCTCAACCTCCCCAGCTGAAAGAAAGATATAACGACACAAAACTTCAAAAATGAAAAAAGGTTGAATTATATGTATATACTCGTGGTGCTTATCAAACATACGGAGGTACTATTCCTGTCGTACGCACCATCGTTATCAGTGATTGTAACGGTGGCAGTGTCTGATGCTCCAACAGAAACAACGGCACTTTGGTCTGTCCCACTGATTCTAGCCCCAAACGCTTCATCTCCCTCCAATAAGGTATCTTCCGTTCCGCTCACTGCCACACAATGAGAACCATCAGTCGGAAGCGTTGTTCCGGCAGGAATGGTGACAGAGGAACCCAGAGAAAAGTCACCAGCTCCTGCGTGCACACAGTACCAGGTTTAATATACAAGCAATACATATCCATATATACAAGTAAATTAAAAATCCTGGGGATTAGCATAAAAAGAAAGGGAGACAAGATAGGGATGGGACACATGAAGCATGGTTAATGAACACATTTCAGCAAGCTGACACCCCCAACCCCATCACACAATCCCTATATTGTTGCCTGGTGTGCTACTCTTAGAGGGGCTAAAGGTTACACATTCTTTCACCGTGTCCCTGTTGTTTTTAGTATTTTATACT